TTTGACAGCTATTACATGGGTCCTCTTTTCTCAAGACTGAACACCTTCACTGCTTGAGCTGGTTTCCCAGTTATGTTTTTTTCTAGGCCTTTGGTTATACCTGTTAGTTTATGGGGTTTTTTTCTGACTTTTTCATGTGGGCTCATGACCTGTTTGAAATCTTGTCACGAAGCTGTAATAAGGTGCATTCTTTTAACCTTTACCAGAGCTGTACAGAATTGTTTCACATTTGTAGGCTACAGTCTTGTTCATACATTATAGTATGACATTTTTCTTAAAGCCCATGCAATTGTTGATAGTGATCACTTGATTCCTTTTTTTTCCCTTTGGAATGTAATTCTAGCCAGTTGCTCTTTAGTTTGAATGTTCAAGTTGATTACTATGTCTGCTTGAAAGAGGAACAACAGTTTTCTTATTGAATTACATTGTATTTTCAGCCTTTTTCAATATTATGAATATTTTTATTACGTTAATGTATTCTGAAGCTATTAAAATCTATTGCATGTTTCATAGGATATCTCCTAAGCCATTAAAGAAGGGACAGAATAGTTCTAGGGTCATGATACACTCTTGTGAAAATCTGCTTCCAGAGCAGCCTTTCAAGACTGCAAGTCATTGATTGCTGTTATCTGAAAATCACTTTCAACTAGTTTTGTCATCATCGTACAGCATGATTATACAAATAGTAAGTGTGCTTTCTGGTGTGGCTTATGAGGTTGCAGTGCAAGAGAGCACGACAAGCACTGGCAAAATCAAAGTGCTTGAATTCTATCTTTGTTTCCTAGAAATGCTTCCATAGAACGAAACCAGATCTATTACTGTTTGTCTGATAAAACTCTGTAGCATTCTTCATGTCCTTTCATCTTCTGAGTGCTCACAAGTTATTTGAGTATTTGATTTCAGTGTATTTCCCAGAAATCATACTACAGTTTCTGACATAATCTTTTCCGTATTCATTTCTTTTATTTTTTTCCATTCATTTCTGCACTAATCATGCATTTTCTTCCCTCCACAGTTTCTCAGCAGCTTCAGGTTTGCTCATTTCAAATTCAAGTGTTCTAGTCTATACAAATATCCTCAGAATATTCTTTTTCACTCTGCAGAGAGGTTTTACCTGTTCATATTTGATATTCATGGTGACGTAATACTCCTTCCTGTGGAGATTTCCTGCAGTCTTTCAGTCAAAAAGTTTTCCCAAGTCAAGGTTTTATCACAGTCTTCACATACATGTGCATGCATGCTGTCATTCACACTTGAAAATTACATCACTTGGTCACAGGAACTTGATTTGGGGATATTCTAAAGGTAAGTAAGTAGGTATGGAAGTATGATATCTACCTGGAACTTCATTTACATACAAATGCAAGGGAAGGTGGGGTTCTTCAGTGAGCTCACTGTAAAAAATGTATATTGTTCTTGTATTCATAACAACTGAATGTACACAAAAATATGTGCTTTTTATTTTATTATTTTTTAATTTCCCTGTATATCCATGATTTTATAATTTTGCCGTGGAAAAGAAAATATTTTTTCCATCTTGAGGCAAAAGTAGTCTTTTTATACAGAATATACAGAGATTGGTTTGGCAACTGTTGACAGGTAGCTCTTTGGATTGGAAGGTAGCACAGCTTAATGAAATATATTACTGTCATTTAATCTTTTCAACTCTGTAAGAGTAGTTATAAGAACAGAGTTTATGTATATCAAAATAACGTACATAGTAATTATTCCAGAAATATAACTGTTCTCATCTTTACTGTAATAACAGTAAAGCTGCATGAGTCACGTCTAGAGATGGCATACATTCTTTGATGCTCTTCCCACGGACTTTAATTGCTTGTCTCTAGTTCACCAAACTACTTAAGGTAAATTTAAGAACGTTGGGTCCATTTACTACTGAGCAGGTTTTCAAACAGACAGGATATAAGTAAACAAATTGCACCTTCAAATGGGAAACTTAAGAGTACAGAAATGAGGAACTTTTCATTCTGAAATACACTGCCGTGTGTTTTACACTCCATCTGTTTTCAAAGCTGAATGCTGCTGCACAGTGCTTACAAGTAAGAAATAGCTATTATTCTGTCTTGAAACAAGATCTGCAAAAACTCAAACAGTTGAAACAGCCCTAAAATCAGACATACAAGTGAGACATACTGAAACTCCAGCGCAGAGAATCAAGATCAAAAGATAAAAAGCTAGGTATGTTAAAATTTACCACTCGTATGGTAAAATGGATTCTTTTCACGCATATGAAGGATTGTGGTGAAAATAGCACAAATAGTCAACTGTTCATAAAATCAGATTAAGTAATTCTACAAAAGATGAATTCCTTGAAAAATGCGCAGTGACATATTTTCCCCATGTAAAAAGTCAACATTAAAGATGAATAAATTAAAATCATTTTGGTTCTATTTGTAATATTATACTTCGTAGTTACATTCCTGTGTTTCTCTGCTGTTTCATGTATTCAGATATTTTTCCTCAAAATCTCAAAACAAACGATTTTGTCATGTTCTCAATACTTCCTCTGCTGGTAGTGTACATCTATTTTTCACTGTGTCCTCATATTCTGTATGCCATATGTTACCTGCTTTGCTGCCAGTTTATTGAGCTGAACACTGAGAGATATCTAGCCTGCCTTTGCTTTACTGGGCTGTCTTTGTAGTATCCCAGCACATTGTTGATTTAGAGAACAGAGACAAGAATTTGGAACTAGAATTATACTCCTGGTGTCATTAGGTGCTGCTGTTAAATTGTCGGAAAAGCCTATTGATTTATTTCTGACTTATGCAAGCACTTTGATTTTGCCTCGTTACTGGAGATGCAGAGTGTAACTCTGCCTGCCTGGCCATAGAGTGAGTTCAGTGCATGTGAAATTCTGGTATAGCTGTGAATGGGAGCACTGAGTTGGAACTGTTGTGTACTGAGCTTGCACTCACTTACTCAAGTATCAGCATCCATGACAAGTGCAAGACACTGTTATTCTTTACGTTTAAGAGGGCAGTGTTACTTTCAAATAAAATGAAGCAGGCACCTTTAAAGAAAATTAATTCAGAGGACTAAACTCATACTCCATACCTACCGTATTGGCTGGGGCAACTTTGAAGTGTTGATTAGTTTCTTCAGCAACACTTGAGTGAAACAAAGTGGAAATACTGGAGTCTTGAACAAAAAAGCATCAAAATGTATTTCTTTGATTTATACTCCTCGTGTTTGATTGCCAGTATTTTAAATAAATAAATAGAATTTGTATGCCCAATTTTAAATGGTCTCATTGAATTCAATTGCTAACTGACTCAGTGCCTGAAGCATTTTTGGTAAGCATCCTAACAGCAAAGTGTTTATAGATTTGACTCCCTAATCTACTAAGTCTGGACTGTAAAATTCTCAGATTTTAAAACAGGGAACAGAAATATATATTAAATTCAGGCTATGATCTATTCTACCGACACTGCAGATTATTTCATGTATTAAAATAGGAGTTTTACATCATGTGCTGTACTGGAAGGAGCATCGTGGTACCTTCCAGTACAGACAGTATAGTAATCCAGGTACACGGTAAAGTAGCCAATTTTGTTGGATTCAGCTCCTGTAAGGAAATACTTTTAACTGGAAGAGATCTGTTTTAGTGTTCTGTTTTGTCAAATTAAGGATTATTTTAGCCATGCACCCTTTTTTTGAGTAAAGGTAGCACATTCAGAACTGAGCTGTGATTACGGTTTTGTGTAGATGCACAACATTTGAGATACTCTCAATCCTTTAATATGTCCTCTTTTTGATGCTGGAAATGGTGCAAAAAGATATTTCAGCATGGTGAAGTTCAGGTGGAGAACTGCGTGGCAGTGTGACGAGACTAGAAGTGTAGCAGTGTTAAAAGTTGATAAAATCACAGGAATGAACTGTGTTCAAGTCATTCTGTCCACATATTTGCGGAAACTTTGACTTCAGGATTTGCCAGAAATCCTCTTATTTATATGATATTATAATTGCATTAAACTGATGTTACATACCTAAACAGAAGAGGGAATATAGGTCACAAATACTTAATATTTTTTTTTCTGAAATTGTGTGGTGCGTAAAAAACAACCTCATATTTTTATTTGTCACTTGAAATGCTTTTCTGACTCCTCCAATTTTTTGTTATTTGTCTTCTATCTGACTAATGAGGCATCTTCAATCCTTTCTTCAAGGATGGAGTGTCCTACATAAGCACTTTGCTCTTTTCCTTTCCTTATCTATGAGCATTTTCAAATACTACATTTGTTTTGTTTGTTTGTTTTCATTTTTCTTGATAGTATGCTGGTAATCTTACAGACAGATCAGTATGTCAAGAAGTCGTTCTGAAACAGAAGTGCAGTTTTTTGAAAACACTGACAAAATATAATATTATTTTCTGTGTTTGTGATCTTTACTATGTTAGTTCTTTATATCTCAGACAATTCCATTTCCTGGTTAGATTTAGTTAATTTTTGCAAGGTTTGTGAATCAGAACTGTAAATCCACAGATCAGAACCATACAGATGAATCTGTTTCTGTATTAGAAAAACTTCCACTAGGATTGAATCAGCTTTCTATTTTACTTGTTAGTTTTTACTAGAATAATGCTATCTTAAAAGTAGAAAATAAGTCATAAATCCCATAATAGATCCCTCTTAATCCCTTCCTATTGATAGTGAATATAATGCCTTGTTTATTTGCTCATATAATATAAATAAAACCAGTGCAGTCTAATTCTGTTTGATATATGTACTCAAATCAGTCTAAAACCAGAAGTGTGTTAATGCCTGAATTGAGTTTGAAACTGTAGGCAGCCTAAAGAGCAAAACCTTTATACATTTATCTAATCAGACTCTTTAGAATAACTGCAGAAATTTTTCCTTGCACCTGTGTCTACAAAAATTCAAGTACCTTATGAAAGATCCCTTCAAAATATTTAAGGAGCTGTACTTGTTACTGTAAAAGATGTTTGTATTAATGCCAGTCGTTCTCTCCTCTTGCAGTGCAAATTAGAATACCAAGCTTGTGTCTCAGGAAAACAGATCTCAGTGAAATGTGAAGGACGTTGCCCTTGCCCTTCTGACAAATCCACAAACACAGGCAGAAGTGATAGGAGAGGTGAGTGATGATCATTTTTAACGACTCATGTCTAGAAGGAAATCAGATTTTGTTCATAGAGTGTTACAATGTTTGTACATCGTGTATTTTTTAATAAAAAGTCTTATTTTATTCAAGGATCTCTTCTTCTGAAATTGTGCCTACTTGAGTGCACCACTGTAATTTTCAAATGCAGTTATGTTAGTGTGAGTTATTGTTCTTTTGTTGCTTGTTAATATTTGTCAAGATGCCTGTGGCAGTACTTAAGACAAAGAAAAAATTGTTCCCTGCTCCTTAATGTTTTCAACTGAATTTGCAAGAAAATGTGGTGTGATTGGGGGAAAAAAAAACAAAAAAACTTAAAAAGTCCTCATTAGAGCTTATAGAAAAAAGCAGTTGCACTTAAACTGTGAAACTTCTGGTAAAGACTGTCATGTAAAAGTGAGTTCTTTGAAAAGTGGATAGAAATTAATAAGCTTTTTGGTTCATGTGTGAGCGTGGAAACGTTTGGTTGCTTTGCTCTGCTGCTGCTTAGCCACTGATGCAGCTGATGAAAAAATCTGTGGCTAAGCATATTTGTATTTCAGTGACTCCCAGGTGACTTTGGAATGTTGTTGTTAAACAAAACAAAATTTGGTGATCCTGCAAGGAGAGCCGTTGTAGCATGGTGTGTTAGGCAGCCATGGACCTGAATTTGTCAAGAAGAGCAAGACTGGAGGTCAGCACTGAACGTTGCTAGGTGTATTTATTTTTTGCTCTTTATGTTTAGTCACACTAAATTTGTGAAGCACAAGTATCCTGTACCCTAACTGGATAAACACCAGAATTAGTGTTCAAAGATTTGTTGTTTTTTTTTTTTTTCTATAGCAATCTTCTAAATACAAAAGAACCCAGAACTACATTTCTGATTTATGTTAACATTGTTGGTTTTTTTCAAGCTTTTTTATTAAGCTTGATGCACCACTGTAAATTTATTGAGAAATTCATTCTTATCACTTCCTTTACAAGCTCTAGCAGCTGCCAAAAATTGATTTTTTTTTCTCCTAGTTTAAAATTAAAAAAAGGACATTCTTTGAACAGGGAATGAGAGTGTGAGCACTGTGAACACTGGGCTGTGTGCAGTAGTCAAGCCAATCAAAAACCTGCTCTGAAACATCCCTTTAGGCCACTCACGGTATTCTGTAATACTAATTATGTAATTAAATATTATTAAGTATGTATAATTAAATTCTGCCTGTGCTGTAAACTCTGAAAAATGACGCAGCCTTGGGATTTTGTAAAGCATTTATTATAAAATTTCATGTGGCGATGGTAAAAAAAATTGCATACATCTGTTATTTGCTCACATTGCCAGCACAAATTAAAACCACAATGGAAGAGACAGTCATGTGTGGTTAATGTGATCCCATAGAGTATAGCATAAGTGAAGTTTGCACTAGCAGCGATTTCTGGCTTTCCAGCACAGATGTAAGGATATTAGCCTAACAGTGGGTAGGAAGTGAAATTCAGACAATCAGCTGAGAAACATCTCCCTGAGTAATGGGCCTGCCAATTCCTATGTTAGTTTTTGAATATATCACTGCCTTCCATTTAAAAAAATAAAATAAAATTAGCATTGTGTCTGCTTGAAATTGTTTCACCTGATACAGTTTTGTTTTCTCTTTAATTTATATTTATCTTAGTCTGTGTTTTCTCAAGCAGACTGTTTTTTGTACTCCTCTATGTAAACGTTGAAAGAAACCTGTTTTGTTTGTAATTAGAATTGTTTGTAATGAGAATTGTTTGTAATTAGTACTGGTAGGAATGAACTCTTCCTGAAGATTTATGCTGCCAAGGGAGCAAGATTACTTACGCTTAGTTATGTAAAAGAGAAAGCAGAAAGAGCCTATATGAGTATAGGAATTAGCACTAATCCTGTCCTGACAGATTGTCAGGGCAAGCAAAATCAGGGCTTTTCCACATGCTACGTTTTACCAGAACATTGAAATTTGAATATAATTTTCTTACAAGGCCAAAGGCCAGGAGACGTGAGAAATACTGAAGTGAGTTGACTATCACTGCTGACATTTCAGCCACTATTGTAACTTGAATACAAATTTTGTTCTAAGTGGTGAAAAAGAATCCAATGATTTTCTTTAAACTGAATTCCATTAAGTGTTAGCTGTATGTGCATCTGTGAATTGCTTAGAAATTTGACAAAGCCAGAGACAAAGGAAGATGAGCACTCCAGTTTCAGCGATAACTTAAATGAAGACTTCCTAGAACACATGTCCTATCCAAAACCTTTTTTCATTTATCATTGATGCCTACTCACAGGTTCTGATTTTTTTATTTTTATTTTTTTTTACTTTCCCCCTTTTCATGTATCTAAGAAGCCAGTATACCTATGAACTTACCCAAGGTATTTTTGGTATGAAATGCCATGCTCCTTTGGGAAGCAAAATGAAATCAGTATTCAGAAAAAAAAAGATTTGCTTTTCAATGTGTATGTGAGTCTATTCATAAAATCACACAAAACTCTTAGTTGGAAGGAAACTCAAACTTATCTAGTCTCTCTCTCTGCTCAGTGTATGAGGCAAGTGAGGGCGTTCAAGCTTTTCTGAAAGCTGGCTCAACCCAGTAATATGTTCAGCTACAGTGAACCTGCCTTGTGTGCAGGGATTGTTAGCTTGAATCCAAACACAAAATGGCAGAAGACTTGATCTTGAGTTAGTAGTACAAGTTGGTGACAAAACAAGCAATAAGAAAGGGCAGAAAAATGGCATCGTGCTCATCTTCCTTTATTTTGTTGTGGTTATATTTTAGAGAAAGCAATCTTGAGTATCATACAAACATAAAAAGAAAAAAAGACACTCTATGGCAGTAAGAGTGGGGAAAATGTGAAGAGGTGTTGTTAGAGGGAAGGGTCACACACAGAAACGTGGATGTGAGAAATGGAATAGTGGGGTGTGTTAGGGAGTTGAGAAAGAAAGGTAAACCAAAACGAAAGAGTGAAAGGATGAGGCACCATCACTAGTGACAGAGGTGTTAATCAGGAGATGTGAGGAAGCATTTACATGGCTCAATCTTTTCCTGGCAGGTCGATTGCCACATGTCCCACTTTCACCCTAATCCTACTGAAATACGTGCCAGGATTTGGGGCATTCAGGTCACAGTGGCTTGTGCAGATGTGCAGATAGGGATTTCACTGAGTTGGAATCTGTTGGGCTTCATTTCTGCAAGCTCTTCTGAGTTTTTTCCCCAGCATTTAAACAGGACCAGAAAACAGGAAGTCTGCTTTGACAGACACTCTCTGCTTTTTATAATACTGAGGAAACTGCCTCTTGGCAGTATCTGGGCCCCATTTTTTGCTTAAGATGCTACTTACAGTCTTCTGCTCTGATGCAGTTTGAGGCCTTTCCTTTCTCATCATAGAAGACGAAGAGAGAAGGAATATATCAGTCCTTGAAAGAAAATTGTTTTGTGTTCATTCAGAAGTTGAGGGATGGAGTGTTTACACAGAATTAAATGTGACCTCACTCATTTCATCACTAGGAATTCTTTATTTAGTTAGACATTTCCTTCTGTTTCTCCTTTACTTCTTTTGAAGATGATATGGAGGACTACTCGTTAAATAAATCTAAAAAGAAAAAGAATACAAAAATAGTCTTAAAAGGCTACAGAAGGTGATACTTTTTACTGGGCTTTTTTTCTTGCCTGGACCAAATTCCTAAATACTAAACATGTTTTGAATGCCAAGGACAGCAGATAAGCATAAGGGTGATAACTCTGAACAAACTGCCTTTAGAGATACCTCAGGAAAGCAGTCCGTTGTCAGTTGGCTTGAAATTGCTATACTGGAATTTGCTCCACAGATACTGGGGAAGGTTTAATTATCCTTAAATCCAAAAAGCTTGGAAACCAGAGACCTAGATGGATTGCCTATCTTCTTTATCTCTGTTAGGCTACACTGACACTGACAAATGCACCACAACATGGTCATGATCCTGGCCTCCCAGATAGTCTATATTATGAAGTTGACTGATGTGTGCTATAGATTCTTCCTGGTTTCTTCTTCCTGGAAACAGGGTTGGGATTCAGTCCCAATAGACAGTCAAGGTCCAGAGGTGAGACACATACTCACATCCAGGAGCTCAGTCTTAGTTGAAGGTCCTTCAGTTTAAACACTAAAAGCTGCAACAGTGTGGGTGATATATTCAATGTCCATTCTCATTAGCTACTGAAATAGAAGAATTTGCTCAAAAAAAAATTTTGAGGGAATCTCAAATAAATCCTGTAGTAAGAGATCAATTGTTATTTTCAATGAAGTGACAGAGGTAGACATATATGTGAAAGAATGGGCTTCTCTGTTTCTGGCCATCTAGAGAGTACAACATATCTAACATAGGAAGCTGCTATAAATGCCACGCTCTTCAAGTCTATAAATGTGCTGGAAGTAAGTAAAAAGGCAGTGCTGCATGCTGAAAATATTTTCAGTTAGCATATTTCAAAGAATTTAATCATAGAACATAGATGCTTTCTCAGCTGCATCCTATTTTACGCTGAATACCGAATTGTTAATTGCTATGAGATGAGGATAAGTAACAGTAGGATTAAAGGCATTGTAGAATCTGTTACATTCTGTGTGCACCAGTGCTTGAAAAACAAATAACAAGACTGCACACCCCCAAATCATCTTATTTTATTTACATACCACCATCTTCTCAATATATGACCTCAGCCATGCTTCATTTAGTAAAGGTGTAGGTGCCAAAAAGAGCTTTTGTTCTCTCTGCATTCCAGTGTTGACAATTTCAGAGATTTAAGGCCAAAAATAACATTTGTGTTAACTCCTTAACCTCTCCTTTTCACTAGCTGTCCTTGAAAGCTAAAAATATAATTTTTTAATTGGCATTTTTTCTTCAAGATTAACTCTAGGTTATCAACAGAATAAAATCTTTAACCAGAACACCGTGTATTGGACCAGTTAGGCCTCATAATATCAGTGCTCAGGTATGGAATAGCTGGAAGAAGCCATTTAT